AAAACAGTAGTCACTCTGTACACCATAAGTTGGGTGTGATAATTTAAGACTTGGGAAAGCTAAAGTATCCCTTGATGCCCCCGAATGTGCGCCAATAATGTCACCTGTCGTCCGGATAATAAATTGTAAATGTTTAAAAGAGGATGTCGCMCCCACATGTGTTGTCTCCGTATTTACACACGTATGACATAAAAAAATATCGTTCAGTTATTGTTTCAATAGTAAGTATCATACTATTATACTGTTAGTTTTGAATGTTTTAATATAAGACTATTAGAGTGAAYGGACMTATTATCAGACATTTAAGTAAAAATTGTATCTGTCTTGTATTCGTTGCCCGTTGGTCTTTTACGATATTCTAATTTTTAAGATATAGTTATGAGTATGTAAAGATAGTAAAGTATTATTATTTGAAAATGTTCGTGATTAAAAATTTAAATATCACAAAAAATCATCGAGAACACAGATAATGCTGTTATAATGAAAGTTTGAACATAGGTCAATTCATTCTAATATCAAAACTAACAGCAGCATAACAGTGTATTATATGAAACTGGTGTATGAAAATGTTTTATGTCGTACATGAGGAATACGGAGACAAGCAAACAACACTTGCGGGTACGATGTCCTTGTTTTCCTTCCATACGCGAAAAATTAAATTATGTWAGGTACATCTCGTGTATTTCAGTGCTTGTATCTGTATGACTGTACAGGAGTCGCTCCRTTCTCATTTAAACCAGTATCACTTGAAAATGGCACTGACTATCAGCAATTTCCAGATTTAATACATTTTTTAAGCTCGTGATATCCACAAAAGTTGCGGTGGGGAGATATTGTCACCATTTATTGAATACAGACGATAATAATACCACAGAATATATGAAATTTCATATATTCTGTGATAATATACAGTCGACGCGTTGGAATGTTTGGATAACGATAACGGTAGCGCTATCTACAGCTGTCATTTTAAACTTGTTGATCAATGATCCTCGGCCAACGATGTAGATAATGTAGACCGTAAAGGCACTCAGCAACGATATTATGTGAATCGTAATTTAATCATAGATCATAATAATAATATACCTAATAATATATTATATTATTGATTATTTTCCATGAATTTTATGGCATTAAGTTCGTGAGCTGTCCACCAAGAGCACTATAAAAATGCCAATAATTGTTTATTTATTTGTATAGCCATAAATTCTAGCCTAGATATAGAGTTAGGTCGACAATCCTTCCACCGCAAAAACCAAAAACAAGTAAATTACACATCCAAAT